AACAAATTAACCCATAATTATTTTAGTTATTATAATTATTGAACAAAACATCTGTTTGATATTTGATAGATAATCCGAAAGCTTTTTCGGTTCGGCCACCAATATGATTGTAGAAACATTGGTTTTATCCGATGTTTCATAATCCGTAATTATATCTATATCCATGGACTCAATTAGGGCATGGGTTTATTACCCGAAACAAAAAAAAAACAAGTGGAAATTGGCCTTAAACTATCCGTGAGCCAAACCGAGAATGCCAAATTATATGAACGGTTCTTATATTTTCAAGGTTCGGGTACCCAAACCAAACCAAAAATTAACCGAGAATTGAACGAATATCCGAAATACCCTAAATATAAAATAATCTAAACATATTTCGGTTATAGGTCGGGTATGTTCGAGTAAATTTTCAAAAAAAAAATTGTTATTTTTTGTTAGTTTGGTTCGGGTATTTAATCCGATTTTTTTTTTTTGTCGGCCAACACTTCATTAGTAGAAAAGCCCAATAGGCAATACAAGCTGTTAGAAAAAAAACATATTACCAGCCCAATTACATCTTAAAAGATAAAGCCCATTACAAGATTTAACCCATGAATACTCTTATGGAACTGAGAATGTTGTCACGGTGGCGCCGGCCAATCCATAGATCCACCACAGCTCCACTGTCGGTTTCTTCCAATAACATTGTATCCTCTGTTCACGGACGATGCCAGCGCTTATCCACCAATATCTATACGCAACCACCATGGGATGAGTCCAAAACTCCACCTTTGAAGAGAAGCTTCACCAATTACCTATCTCATAGGCCCAATCCAAGGATGATGAAGATATTACTCCCTCGCAAAAGAAGAGATCAAACTCGGCAAAACAAATAGACACATCAGAAGATAAAACACCAGATTTAAGCGTATGTGGAAAGAGGAAAAGAAAATCGGACAAACCGAAGAGAGACCGAACAAAGCCAGATGCTTTCATACACCGGATAAAGCCGGAAAATTAATCCAATTTAGACAAATCGAATGCTAAACAGAGAAAATACATAAGCCTAGAGGTACCTGAACCATCAACTCTTCAACATACTTCCATCAGAAAGATTTGGATCCTCCTTTGACAGATCTAAAATAAAATCAGTCTCAGGAAAACACCCAAAAAATCTCAGCGGAGGGATGAAAAGAATCTAGGAGTTTATTTGGAGAATATTTACAAAGGCACGGTGGCAGCTAAAGGAAATCGCCGACAACCGGCCAACAAAAAAAAGATCAAAGTAGATTTGAGAGCTTCATACGCTAGAGATTTCTAGAGAGAAAAAAAGAAGGAGATATTTAATCCAATTTACTCATAAATAATCCAGAAGAGCCTAGATTTCGGAACTTTCTCTCTCTTTCGTGAATCTTCGAGCGATTTGGGTTTCGACTAGATCGATCTATTTTCCGGTAGATCTGGAGCAAATCTCACTAAATTTTGTTAGATCTTCTGTTCTTTCATCCTTCTTGTGTCTTATCTGTTACTATGGAAACACAAAGGTGATTTGGGATGCTTTTCAAGGGTTACGACTCGAATCTAATCTCGAGACTTGGAATGTTCATGAGGATGCGCAAGACAAATTTGAGAAAGAACATAAGCTCTGTATATTAGCTATGGGTCTCAATCTTGCTCATCAAAATCCAGCTGGAATCAAAAAAGCTTTGTAGGGCGCTTGAGACAGAAAGGATGTGTAGATGCGAAGATTAATGATGATGGATCTGATAACTTCTACTTTGCTAAAGAGTATCGGGTCATGGCGATTCTTGAAAATGCTTCTTATATCTATAGGGGTTGGATGATAGCTATAGATAGATGGAGTAGAATGAGGCACCCCAATTTTCTAAGGCATATTCCTTTTTGGGTGAAAATTGACAAGCTTCCAGAAGTCTTTAGGCGTATAAGTATTGTTGAAAGCATTGGGTCGATGATGGGTCATGTTGATGAAGTTCGGATTGTGGAACCAGTTCTGCAATTAGATCGACCAGCTGAAGTTTGGGTTAAAGTAGACATGGATATTGATAGTTAAATTTCTTTGGTCAGGAATGTTCAGATTATCAATGGAAGAGATCATGTTGAATTGGAGTTCAAATATAAGAAACTCCAAAAATTATGTACAACTTGTGGAAGTATGCATCATAGCTATGATATTTGTCCTAAGGCATCAATTCTGAGTACTACTGCTGGAGCTTTAATGGAACTTGGTCATGATCCCTTTATTACTTCTTTAAAGCGACAGGCTGCTATAGAGGGACTTAATACAAGACAAGAGATTGGTGAGAGTTCTGGCATACAATAGGAGATACCGTCGATGTTAGCTCCCATTTCAGAGTATCTTTTGGAGCAAGGGATTGGAAGGTGACCTTATACTATCAGTGAAGATGTTATTATGATTGATACTGATAAGGGAACGAAGAGAAAGTTGGATGAAGCTGTTCTGCATGTAGAGAAGTCTTCTAAGAGACAATATGGGAGAGGAGCTCAAGGTGACGAGGGGGCTGGCCCTAGTTCACTTGCAAAATAGAAGGAGGAAGATAATAAGACAATTACTGAAGCTGAATCAACAGGCTTGGTGGTTGCCTTAAAACCACCAACCCAGCC